TGTCTCTGCATCTCGTATGGGCTGGAGTTCACTGCGAATATTCATGTCCTGTAGATCAAGGCGCGCGTTCAACCCGTCCTTTGTCTTCCCGGGAATATTCAGCATCAGGCCAACCAAACTCTCACACACATTCTTTTCTACATGCATGAGATCAATGCAATGACGGACATCAAGATCTTTCCAGTAAGGTAGCCGCCAAAATATGGATTTTTTTCTTCCACATACCCTTCTCCTTTGTCTTGCTACGTTTTCTTTTCTTCCCAAACTCATTGCTTATGTCCTTGACCATATTGTGGACCTCATCTCCGGACAAATCTTTGGGAGCAGGCTGAAGTTCTCTCTTACCGTTAAAAATTTTCTTCTTTCTTCTAAATGCATGACGTAGCGGGAGCCACCTCTGGTGACCCATGTACACCATCTTTCGTGATTTCTTCAGCCACCGGCTTCGTGTATGTTCCTTGCAATCGGAGCATGCCTTCTTTCCTTTTATAGTTTGTCCGGAAAGATTACCGAGTGCAGGGTAGTCATTAATGGTGCAGAACAATAGAACTCTTAGCTTGAAGTTCTCCTGACCATATGCATCCCAAGTTTCCACACCTTCTTTCCAAAGAATCTCCAGATTGTCGATAACAGGCTCCAGGAATACATCGATATCATTGCCGGGTTGCTTTGGACCTTGGATTAACAAGCACAACATAATATATTTCCGTTTAAAGCATAACCATAGTGGGAGGTTATAGTTCGCAATAAGAACTGGCCAAGTATTGTGAGTACTACTCATGTCACCGAAAGGATTCATGCCATCCGTACACAGACATATTCTCATGTTTCTAGGGTTGGCAGCAAAGTCTTTGTGTTTTCGATCGATATTCCTCCATTCAATCGAATCCGCTGGGTGTCTAAGCATACCGTCGTTCCTTCTCTCCATAGCATGCCAACGTACTAACTTCGCTTCGTTCGGGTTGGCAAAGATTCTCTTGAAACGATCAATGATAGGTAGATACCACACAACCTTTGCCGGACCACCCCTCTTTGACTTATTTCCTTCGTCAACACTTTTCTTTCGCTTGTATCGAGAAGCCTTGCAGACAGAACAAGCATCCAAGTCCTCATATTGCTTGTGGTACAATATGCAGTCGTTGGGACAAGCGTGAATTCTTCGGACCTCTAACCCCAGTGGACACAGAACCTGCTTTGCTTCGTATGTCGTCTCGGGCAATGTGTTCTCAACAGGAAGCATAGCCTTCAAAATTCCTAAAAGATCTGTGAAACTCTTGTCTGTCCATCCACTATTTGCCTTCAGCTTCATTAGGTCCAAGGTAACTGACAACTTAGTGTGTTTTGCTTTGCATCCAGCGTATAGAGGCGTCTCAGAATCACTTACCAACCTGCTGAACTTCATTCCATCTCTCTCATTTTGGGCTGGGTCCTCAATGTCACGTAACATGTCTTGTAGCAAATCGTGATCCACATCAACCATTTCACCGCCCAATGGAGAAGGTATAAACATGTCATGCTCATCTTCATCTTCCTGATTATGCGCACCACTTCTGTCTGCTGCTGCTCCACTTCCTGCTTCTTGCTCTCCATGCTTCACCCAACATGTATAGCCCTCCATGAATCCTCGTTGTATCAGATGACTGTGTACGTCCTCTCCGCTATCAAACATATTCTCATTCTTGCAATCTGCACATGGACAACACATTTAATCACTGTTTCTTCTTATCCGATTCTCCTCCGCGGCGTTCATAAAATTTATTACGCCCTTTCTGTACTCCGTAGAATGACGTTTCAAATTTTTCGCATACATCCAACTTCGATCAATTGCTACAAAATTAAAAAAACAAATTAGAGGCACATATTATAAGATCATTATTGCAAAAGTAAGACGTGATGAAATTGCTCAATTAATGATTAATATTACTCACTTGATTGATCCATTTTGATCACCTACAGGAATTTAATTTCTGTTTTCCTTCGAAAAAGGAAAAAAAATCGCCCCCTACAGCCTCCCACCAAAATAGTGAATAGTGGGATACAGTTACACTAGGTGGTGGGGGGTATTTATACTGTGCAACAAATATCTGTAACGACCCTAAAACAATCAACCATGATGGGCATACAAGTAATCTCTATCGGGCCTTAATAAAAGGCCGTCAAAAATGAGTGTCATCTGTGACAGGCACTAAACTTATCTCAATCGGGCCTCTAGTTGGAGCCCGTCACAAATGACCCTCATCTGTGACGGGCTTCTTTTAGGGCCCGATTGAGATATAGAACCCTCATCTCAATCGGGCCTCAACTATAGCCCGTCACAGATAAGTGTCATCCGTGACGGGCTTTATTTTTATGCCGATATACCATGGTTGTGCGACCATATCTTAATCGGGCGAAACTTCTGCCCGATTGAGATTACTTCCTTGTGACGGCCCGCAAATTCCAGTCTTGTTATGGGCCGTCATAGATGGAAGGATCTGTACTAGTGTATATGATAAAACCTTTTGTACCAATGTTGAAGTTTTTGGTAGAGGTATGGAACAAACCCTACTCGTGTTATCCAGTAGTAGTGCATAAGGATTACGATAGATTGTTACAAGTTTTCTTCAAATGTACTTAATTGATATTTTTTTTAACAAGGAGATAACATTTGAAGTAACTTATATAAGCTACTCCGTATATTTCAAAATATAATTATTTTGGGGGTTTTCGGTAGAAATTAAGGCTAGTAAGAAAAAGCTAGGTTTAGATGAGAAAGAAGGTGGATAAATTAAATAAAATATGGTTGTGATTGAGATGAGAAAGTAGATAAATAAATCATGAAAAATCTTATTTTATAGACTATACTAGATTTCGTTACCCCACTTTTTGAAAGAAATTCTTGTTGACAGAGTCTAAACAAAAGAAAGAAAACAACCAAAACAAAAACTAAAATAGATAAAACATTAAAGTCATCATCTTCAACATTAAACTTTGCATAGCTTTACATAAGGAGAATAGAAGAAAACAACCCGCACACAACCAGGCTTCACTGGGAGGTCAACACATAGCGGACAAAACTACCCAATTCCTAGGTTTTTTGGTAGGACATCCTCAGACCGAAACTGGATCATCTTTTCCATCAACTTTTGATGAACATTGTCCAATAGGGCACAATCTTTTTTTTCTTTAGAGCACCCAACATCGCTGCATCAGCGATATTGATCTATATACAACTTGCAAAATAGATTTTAGCAATTTATCTTAAAAACCCATTATTCCTAGTGAACCACAACTCCTAGCAAAAGCTTACAATCAGCATCAACCCAACTCTAACCTTAACTTTTTGAGAAAATTTCTTGTGTACCCCTAAAACTTCACCCAATCCCTTCTATACCCTGAGACTTGCTCATTCCCTTCTATACCCCTAATTTTCACTTTGGATCCCTTCTATACCCCTTCCGTCAGTTGACCGTTAGTTGACTGTTAAGTTTCTATCACAAAGTCCATTTTGCCCTTTGGTATCAAGAAAATATAAATTTATGAAGTATATTGATGAAGTGTCTAAATTTATTGTATGTGAATATTATATGTATGAGTTTATTTTGTGAGATATTATTTAAAAAAATAATATTTTATTTTCACCTCGCGAAGGGAAAACAAGAATAATTTTTTATCTATGACAAAAATTATTTTAGATAAAACAAAAAATAATATTTTTTACCATTAAAAATTGTACATATAGCATATTTTGTTATAGTAGTATGAAATTTTTTATGAGATAGATCTTGTTATGCGAGATAAAAATTATTTTTGTTAAATAATATCTCGCAAAAATAAATTCATAAATATAATAGTCGCATACAATGAATTTATACACTCCATCAATATACTTCATAAATTTATATTTTCTTAATACCAAAGGGTAAAATGAACTTTATGATATGAATTTAACGGTCAACTAAAGGAAGGGGTATAGAAGGGATCTAAACTGAAATTTAGGGGTATAGAAGGGAATGAGCAAATCTCAGGGGTATAGAAAGAAGGGATTGGATGAACTTTCAGAGGCACACATGAAATTTTCTCTAACTTTTTTTTTTGAGAACTTAACCCCTAACGTTTGCTTAACCATTCTGATACTATCCCAGATCAACCCATGCCCCTCATGCAACCTCGTTATCAAATAAAATTTTGTAAATGAGTATGTGTTAATTTTGAGACTGATCGAGAAAGATAGCCCATAACTTCAAACGCAACACAATCTTAGCAATAGGTTGCTCGGCTAATATAACAATTTGGACAAATTTTTGGGAGTATATTTAAAATTAGATGATGCACATTGACTAATATAACAATTTGGACAAATTCTGAATTTGATGGAATTTTGACAAAATTTCAGCATTTTGATAGAACTTAAACAAAATTTTGACAATATTTTGTAAAATGTAATTATCTGTTTCCTTTAGATATTAGTCAATGTGCTTCATTTAATTTTAAATATACTCACAATAACAAAGTTCTAAAGCTACATGTATAAAATGGGGACAAAAACACAATTAATGAACATACATGAGAGGGTATAAATATCATTTTGTCAATTACTTAACACCGTTAACTTCACCATCCAAAGTAGGGGTAAAACAAGCGTTCAGTTCAAAAAAGTGAGGGTAAAAACAAAAACCCTAAAAAGTAGAAGTAAAATCAATATTAGACATCAAATTAGGGGCAGAAACAAAATTGTCTCTTTTGTCTTCTCTTTCTTTTTTTTTTTCAAAAGGCATTCATTTGGTGCACATCATTACCACGAGCACTACTACATGCGCTGCTGCCTGCTGATTCCGGCCGATCACACACAATCCGCTGTCCTACTGCCTTACCGGTGGGTGCGGTGCAGTACATTGGTGTTGAGGTGGTGGTACTCAGTTAATCCAAGCCGTCCATTCTGGATCGAGGCGCGGAGAAGCCCCAAGTCCAGTCCATCGAGTCCTGCGCCGTCCAACCCAAGTAGCACGCCACGTCACAGACAATCCACTGATCCCACCACCCCCAGTCTCTCACTCTCTCTCCTCCCCCAACTCCTCATACTCTCCGCTCTCCGGCGACCGGCGGCGACCGGCCATGTACAGCTCATACTCCGCCGTCGCCCTCGCGCTGAGGGCCGCCAAGCCGTCCTCCTGCGCCCACTCCACTTACCACCACCACCACCACCACCACCACCACGGCGACGGCGGCGACTGCCACCAGCAGGAGCTGCTGCTCCCGCTGAACCCTCGCGCCGCCGCGGCTCCCCGCTTCATGCTCGACGGGTACCTCCTCCGCCACTCGGCTCACTTCCTCCTCCTCTCCGCTCGGCTCCGCCCTCCTCCTCCTCCTCCCCGCTGCTGCCACCGCCGCCGCCGAGTAGCCGCCCGCTGCTGCTGCTGCGGCGGCGGCGGCTCCGTTGCTGGGCACGTCTCTTGGCGACTGGATCCGCCGCGGGTGTGCCGCTGCAGCGGGCACGGCGCTGGGAGGTCGTCGGATCTTGGAGCGGTTTACCGGCGGCGACTTGAGTGCCGCTGCGGCGGCGGTGGTGGGAGGTTGGATCTCGGGGCGGGCTGCGGGCCGCGGCGGGATGCGCCGAGGCTGGTGGGGAGGGCGGTGAGGCAGGAGGTGTGGGAGTACGAGGGTGGCGAGTGGCCGCACACGAGCTGTTCGATGGAATGCCACACGGACTGGGGCGATGAAGAGGAAGACTGCGGAATTGCTCAGTGGGAGGCGCCGCCGAGGTTTCGTTTAAGTAGAAGGAGAAGTGAAGAGGATGAGGGTGACAGATGTAGGGATTGTCATCGGAGGAAGGATGCGGAGAGCGATTACTATGATGAAGACGAGTACAGTGGCCGGCAAAGGGAGAGGAGGAATATGAATGAAAGACATGGTAGGTTTACAGATTCTAACCAGAGGAGAAGGGACCAGAGGGACTACCATGATGACGATGATTATCTTGAATTCAGGCGATGGAAGGAGAGGAGGGAAAGGAGAGACTCTGAATTTGATGATGCTGTTGCAAGGAGAGGAATTGAAGATAGAAGATACAGCGAGGATGACAGGAAATACGATCGGAGAAGAGAAAGGAAGGATTTTGGATATGAGGGTGCAGTTGATGTCAGGAGAGGAGCTAGTAGGTACACTGATAATAACCAAAGATCTGATTGGAGAACAGAGGATAGGGATTATGAAGTTGACGTGAGGAGAGAAGGAAAGCACCGTAGAAATGATGATCAAAGATATGTTACACGACACCAGCAGAGAACTGATGGTACAGAGGAAGATGTTTCACTATTGGAGTCGTATCGTTGGCATGATGAAGAATATGATTACGATGATCGAGACATTGCTGAGAGGAGGTACTACTCCGGGAGAACCCAGAAATCTGCAAGAGCATCTGCATTGCATGAGGATGAATCTAACAGGGCTTCGAGCTCAAGGAACATAGTTGATACAAGGGTTGCAAGAAACAAGGAGAATTCAGCCTCAAGGGTCCGGTGGCATGATAATGTAGACAAACGAGCTGAGCAGACATCTGAAGAGAGAAACCAACGATATTCTTCCTCGGTGGTTCAATCTTTTGATGAGAAGAAACATGACCATGACGATGCACAGCTTATCAGTGTAAGGGATTCTAGGATAGGAACACGAGATGTCAGGGTTATAACTGAGGATGATGCAAATTTGGCCTCTAGTTCAAAGAACACTATGATTTCAAAGCACCACAACACTGTAGATCAGAAATCAACAACACGGAAGGATGACTCAAGGAATAGATCACAGAAAATAATGGAGCTGTCAGAAGTCAGAGGTACCAACACTGAACATGACTCAAGAACACAAAGTTATCACCAGGAAGATAGAAGAAGGTACATTGAAAATAGGGCATCTTCTCTTCAAAGTTCTGTAAAGACGACTAGTGACACTAGAACACAAGTTGATCAGCATGATGAAGTGGATCAGCAGGTGGTTGCACTAACTGACTCAAGGAGAAGGTCTGAAAAACTCACAGATATAAAAATGGATAGTACTTCTAATGTTAGCAGGACCTCTCTCAAACAGAGAAATTCTGATGAAGTGAATCAGATGGATATTGATGACAGATCTAATTCCGTTCACAATATAACTCATATTACAAGAGACAAAAAGAGATATGTAAACCAGCAGGTAATACATGAAACGGACATAGATGTGCAGAATGTCACACATGTTGATGTTTCCAAAGTTCGTGCGAGTGATATTTCTGTCTCAAGGAATTCACAAAAGGCTTCTGAAACTAGATCTGATATGGCAAATAGCCAGTTAGAACAGATCCATGCTAGTAATAGTTCCATGGTTAGGGGTCCACAAAGTTATCTGGAGGCTGCACTGCACAACCGGGTATACTCGACTTCAGCTACCGATATTGTTAACACGACAGCGGAGAAGCATGGACAAGTCGAAGCTAGTACCAACAATGCTGCTATAGCAAGTACTTCTGAAAGTCATATCCAAGCAAGAATAGAAGATTCAGCTGTAAATACTATTGGCAGTGTGCAAGAGCAGATTGATCTTACTAGAATCTGTGCTAGTGACTCCACAGTTGTTAGCAGTTCCCATGGTCTTGATACTAGAAGCGGTCAAGTTAGCAGAACTTCAGCTACAAATCTTGTTGACAGGACAAGGGAGACCCGAGATAAGAGCGATCAGCAAATTACACAAGCTTCAAATATAGACAGAAATGACCACGTAACATCCAAATTTTATGAATCCTCTCAGGACTCTAGACAAAGTCTAGCAAGATTGAAAGATGCTGGGAGATTGATGGAACACAACGTGGGTTTGAACTGGCAGCAGGAAGAGTCAAGAAGAGTTTCTAATGACATGGATATTGCTACTTTGGAAATGCAGAGCACTGAAGACGGATCATCTATGGTTCCTGTTGACGAGGAGAAAAGACCAATGATAACTGGAAGCAGTGAACAAGAAGTAAGGAGTGAAACTACTGCTGGAAGCAGTATACCAAGTGGTTCAAGTGCAAGACAGCCTGTGAATGAAAGCTTGTTAGAATCAGCTGCTCGATTAGAGAAATCATCTACATTTCATGTCGGGCAATTTGTTGGTGAGGTCCGCAAAGGAGTGTCAGATGCGGATACTACTTTAACAAGGAAAAATGATAAGTCCATAATGGAAGGTATAGCAAGATCTTCATCTAGATCTAGAATGGGGGGACCATCAGATGAGATGTGGGATGTCCAAAGTGCTACTTCTCAAGAGACCTTTAAGACGGCTGATAAGGAGGAAGGCTCATCAGTTGATGGAGGTACTACTTCGACTTCTCTGACACCCAAGAATGAAACTGCTCTTGCTAGAAAAGTTCACAAATCACTCTGGGCCTATGTTGCAGATATAGTCCGTCTTGGTTGGATTCAACGTGGTGAATCTCTTGATTCTAACAGCAATAGATCAGTTAAGAAAAGTTCATCAAGTAATTCTCAGAATACTGAAGGCTGGATTTCTAGCCAGGAACGCGATAATGAAGGCATACAGAAGAAAACTGAAAGTTCTAAACCAAAAGATCATCTGATGAAGTCACACACTGGAGAATCACTAAAGAAAGAAAGCTTGCCTACTGGTTCACAAGATCTCCTAATATCAGAATCTGGTAACGTACCTCAGATAAATACATCTAAAGGAGATTTTATATCCAGAACTTCTAAAGAAGACGCACACATGACAGGAGAAAAAGCAAAACAATCGAAAGTCGCTGCATCACCAAAACAAAATACTGTTGGAGGCTTTTCTGAGGACAGCACGCCAACATTGGTTGACGTTGCAAAAAAACATTTTCCTGAACATGAAGCTTCTACTTCATCCATGATCACGACAAAGGGTTTTGCTGACAATGACACTGGTGAAGGAGTGATCGCTGGCACCTCTTCAATGCCCATCAGCACAGAGGGAGTTGGTTGGACTGCTGGTTCAGATGAGTGGAGATACGATCCTTCAGGTGCTATGACCCCTTACCGTCATCCTCATACCCAGGTAATGATGCCTCATGAGGATACCCCAGCAATCCTAGAATCAGCAGAGTTGCCTACGGTTGGTTCCACGAGGTTTGAAGAGAAGATTGTTGTACAAGAGACTCCTGAAGTTATCAGAACTGATGGGAAAGATGCTGAATTGAAGAGGAGAAAGTTTCAGAGAAATAAGCAGGTAATGAAGGAAACATTTGATGAATGGGAGGAAGCATACCAGCGAGATGCTGAACAGAGAAAAACTGATGAGTTATTCATGAGGGAAGCATTGCATGAAGCTCAGAGGGCTGCAGATTTGTGGGAGGTGCCAGTTGGAGCAGTGCTAGTACAGAATGGAGAAATTATTGCTCGTGGTTGTAATTTGTAAGTACTATCATATTCTGCAGCTAAATGCAAGTTGAATTAGATCTTCACTTTTTCTTATGTTCTATCTCTTTCTTGTGTTCAGAGTTGAAGATCTCAGGGATTCAACTGCACATGCTGAAATTGTTTGCATTAGAGAAGCTTCTAACAAACTTAAGACATGGCGCCTGGCGGTAGTATTTTTTACATCCAGCAAAATTTTTTCCTGGCTCAACAATGTGGAAGCATCGGAACAATTGAATCTTATTTTAATGTTTCCTTTTTAAATATTCTCCTGTTCATTTTTTTCTGGTGAAAATGATCACAAGTTAGACGCTTGGTATTGAAGATGGATGATTGATTATGCATAAATACTTCTATGCACTAATTATCTTTTATTTTCAGACTTGCCCTTGCCCTTATGTTTTGGTTGATAAATTGTGCACATGTTCTTTTTTTAGAGTAGTAAGGTTATTGCTTTCCAGTTCACAAAATTTTAAGTGTAAGCCATCCTTTTTGTGAGGATTCCTCAGATCCTTTTCAAATGAAAGGTTTTCATGTACTTTATGATGAATTTACTTTTTGTTTGAATCATCTTCATTAGAAAATTTCTGATCAAATTCATTTCAGGATACAACATTGTATGTAACCCTGGAGCCTTGTGCCATGTGCGCTGGTGCTATTCTTCAAGCTAGAGTTGATACGGTGGTATGGGGAGCCCCAAACAAGCTTCTTGGAGCTGATGGCAGCTGGGTTAGGTATGGGATCCAGTTTCCTGTGAAATTTTATAATGTATCATTTTCGAAGTTCCTTTTCCTATTATTCTAATGATTCAAAATCTTGAGATAGTGTTGTACTTCAGACCACATAGCAATTATTGTCTGTCTTTCTGCAATTTGGAGTGGTTTCATGGGCTCACATGGCCTCCTATTCTTCTGACAGCCAATTGTGCGCACTGTATTTTCCTGAAATATCTCTGAACTGTTCCCGCATTCCTGCAACCCTTTTGTACTATACAGGGAAGGGCTGGTCAAGGAGGTGGAAAATTTCCTTCTATGCTCTCCTTGGTTGGCTGTTCTAGGTCTCTCTTATGTCAAAGCCAGTAACATACTTACACCTCAGCACCCAATAGGAGGCTTCGTTACATGCTGTTGCTTCCGCACCACCATAGCTATCTGGTCTACCTCTGTTAACTGGCTTTTAAGCATGCTAGTGTGGTTGTGATTGTGAAAAACAACAAAGCAAAGTTCTTTTTGTTTGCTTTTGTGGGCCAAAGTCAATATCACCCCGTAATTTATCATGTGGCAACCTGCCACCGAAACACCAGCTGGGGTTATAATTCCATTGATTGTAAGCTGCCCCGTGTTATGGTATAGGGGTTTATAGGCAAATTTGTGAAAGAAAATGGGGGTAATTGTTTTTTATCCTTCTAATAAATGCATTATGTAGCACATAAAAGCTAGATTCTATTAAAAGGTCGGTTTGATTATAGGTTGGTGACATATGTAATTCAGTTAAAATGGTGAAGCTTGTTACTCTGATGCTATGCTTATTGAAATGAAAGGAGATATTTACATTTTTATGTCTCCTTTCTAAGATGTTGGAATTTGGAACTATTATTTTGTACTCCAGTTGAGACAACAATATTCCCAACTACAGGCAGTTCTGTAGGGTGTAGAATTTCAAGTAAATAGACTTCAACCATGTGTGAGAACTTGAGGTGGCGAGGGAAAACCTCCCAGTCCCACATGTTTCATTTCCCACAGGGGGACTGGAAAACTAAGTGAATTGTTTTCTGTTTCACTTGTTTTATAGGCTTTTCCCCGGTGATGGTCAAACAAGCAGTTTGGATTCAGCAAACACAAACCAGGGGGCTGGACCTGTCCACCCTTTCCATCCGAAGATATCCATAAGGCGCGGCATTCTCTCCGCTGAGTGCTCAGAAATAATGCAGCAATTCTTCCATTTGAGGAGGAAGAAACAGAAGCCGGAGTCGCCACCTCATGCGCACCCCCAAGGGCGCAACCATCCAGTCAAGTTCTTCAGTAAGATGCATCACATGTTTGGCACAATCTTCTGTTTGTAGTAACATTTCCTTCTATTTTTCTCTGCTCGGAGTTACATTTCTTCCGTTGATTCAGTCCCCTTTCTTGTGTATTTCCCTATGTGTATGCCCCCCTTTTCTCCCCTGCTTTGGGTTATTCTGTAATGTTAGATTGGAGGTAATTTGAGCCGAGGAAACTACCATCAGTTTTCGCCGCCTTTCATGTGGTTGGTTGGTTAGGCCGTAGTGGTAACTGGCATTCCACTCTGTAAGCACCAATTCTGTAGTGGTTGTTTTCCACCCTCTTTTTTTTTTCTTTCTTTTTTGGGAGAACAGAGGAAGGAAATAAATTGTGAATAAGAGGCCGGCATTGATAATCTGCTTATTTGGGGATTACTAATTATGGCCTTGTATTGTTTCAGCTTAAGATTATTGTAATCTAGATTATTGAACCCGATTACTATAAACTGAATTATAATAAGCCGACATAAAATAAGCTGTGACCTGTTTGTTTCCCTGGATTATAAGCTGTTTGTTAGTTGTTAGTCACCCAATAATCTAAAAAAGCACCATTAGAGTGGATTACTAGATTATAGTAATCTGGCTTATAGATTATAATAATCTATCATAATAAGCTATTTGTTTGTTTTAGTTTATTCCTAATAATTCAGATTATAATAATCCTAAACTGAAACATACAGGTCTATGTTGAGTTGCATCATCGGAGCTGATACAATAGCTTTGGCTTTGCACTGTATGCATCTTTGTTAACATGAGACCTGAATACCTGTTGTATTATGCTTGCATTGACGACTATCATATTATCCGGGGAACCTAACCATCTTCCGTGTTAACGTGTACTACTAGTGGTACTGACTGTTCCCTCCTGCAAACTACCAAAGTGCCAATCCCTTTGCTAATGACGATCGTGCACGAATTTCAAACGAATAGTTAGGTGCCCATGCGTTGCAATGGGAAATATATATAAAAATTCTAAGTAAATTCAATATGATTGTGCAAAATAACATGAAATTGAACTTGTAGTTTTCCATCCAAAATTCATGATTGCCAACAAGAACAACTGATCTGGTATCCATTAATCAAAACATAGAAATTTCCATGTTGGATTTCAACATAACATAGTATCTAGCTAATGACCATAGCCAAAATCTAGCTACTGTCAAACTTAAAAATAGTTACTCAATCCGGATGGGCAACAATAAAATTAAAAATAGCACTAAGTATATAGACTTAATTAGACAAAGTTAAGATAGATTTCAATTATAATTGACCAGGCAAACCTTTTTCAGGTATTTTAAAATTCTCTTTTTTTTTCTCCCATCAGTAATTGTGCACGTGCAACACGCACACGTACAGGCAAATTAAACCAAATATAATGCATGCAAGGCTGCAACTAATATGAATTAAACTTACTGCTACAAGCAGCAGCATTTACGTAATATTAATCATGATAGCAAAGCTGTAGAAAATGTAATTAAAAAGGCCGCATTTATGGCAAGGAAAATTCAGTCACATCTTCCATCGCTAGGAGATACAACCTTGAAGCATGCATCAGGCGGGCCTCGGTGATAGCACACAACCTGAGCATATAAAAGCAGTTTTGTAAGACATCGCGCTCAGGAATGTAAAATCAAAGGTGTTTTTGATTATTATTCTGTGATGAACAATTGGACATTGGAGATTATTAGTTTTGATATTTTAAATTTATTCACGAAGTGGTTTTGAAGATGATTGGATTTACAGGTGATCGCAGGATCTATCATTTTATGTGGACCAGTCAGACCGGGCTCTGGTAGCCAGTCAGACCGGCGTGTAACGAGCGGTCGGACCGGACAGCCCGTGGTCTGACCAGCCGACACTGTGTCGATTTCGGTTTTGGGTTGTTTATTTGGATATCCGTGTTTATTTCATGATTATGACTTCTAGATGGATACTATACGTATGTAATACTATTGTTTGCTGCTAATGAGTCAAGTTGGAGATAGCTTGGTCTCGGAATATGGTTTCTTTGTTTGTTCCATGTGTAGGTGACTCGATGTCTCGGGAGAGTATTTGCGGTGATGGACCGGGAGTCGGCTTGGGGATAAGACGACGTCCGTGGTGGTCAGAGATTATGCGGGATACTTAGGCTAGAGTTGATGCACGTGGTTGATGGAGATTCCATATGGCATACGATGAAGTTATTGTGTGCGTATGGGATGCGGAGTTGAATTTGGAAGGAGTCCAAATTTGGTACGATTGATTATGTAAAGTTTCTTTCTTGTACAAGTGGGTTTCCTTAGGTGTTTAGGACTCCTAGTATGAGTTTGGTTCGTGGCTTTAGGCTGCCTACCTCATGTATAAATAGAGGGGGAGCGTGAAGCTTCCCTGTATCGCTTTTTAGAGCAATAGAGTTGAGTTTTGAGTTAGGGTTTCGAGTTTAGTCGAAATTTTTGTAAGGAGTGCTGTTGGTGCACTTTGTAAACACAGAGAGAATCAATAAAGTCGTCATCTACTTTAAGAGTTCTTCGATTTGTGTTTCACCGGGTTTCGGCGGTCTAACCGGCGATCTACCGGTGGTCAGACCGGCAGCATTGCGGCTGTCAGACCGGCGGGAGAATGGCGGTCAGACCAGCGGCGGCGACAGCGAGCGGCAGCTGATCTCGGCGGTCGGACCGGAGATCTAATCTCGGTCAGACCAACGGCGACCAGGCGGTCAGACCGGCAGGACAACTTCGGTCAGACCGCGATCCATCGATTTCGAGGGTAACTTTTATTTCCGCTAAAAGTTTTCGGTTTTTGGGTATACCAACCATTCACTCCCTCTGGTTGGCTTAGTTCTTGTGATTCGATCCTACAAGGAAATCAATCACAATGCAATCTGTTTTTGTTAATCTCTTACAGATCAGATGAAATGTTGTTCGATTGATCATAAATAAGCCATATAGAAAGCAAGTATGGGAGTTGCAGAAAACATGCAACTCCCATTACTGAATAATAAATCTTACATGGCAAATAGCTGCTTGCAAGAAAGGAAAAGAGAACCTAAATGTACAGGATTTGGCTAACCGCAAGTGAACAATTCTTTTTGAAAAAATAGTTAACTAAAGTAGTCAGAACAACAATGAAAGGTTAATGATGTGAAGACATACTGTCTCCTAATCAAAGCATTTTGTAGGATTATAAGATGATATTCTAATTAAGCAAATGCCACACCAATCAATTCCACCTTTGCTAGAGAGAGAACTTAGAGAAGAATTTTCAGGCATACACCAATTAATTAATACATCTCCTTGATCACAAATTTCCTGTTGTATCAATCTCCTATACAGCCATGAAGCTTAATTTTAGTTATTAATTGCCATTGTATAGAAAATGTGAAACCCTAGGCCCCTCTCCTAATTAAGCTGACAAAAGTATCATATAAACCCATATACGCTAACAACAGTATCAGCGAATCACCTCAGCACCAGCTACTAGCCTACTAAGATTGGCAGCAAATTAAAGAAACTGTGAGTATCAGAAAGCAAAAAGTGTATGGTAGTGGGTACTGGGTAGTTTCCCATTCAAGTATATTGCCAATTACCGTTCTGCAAATGGAAAAAAAAACTGCTTTAAATGCTGAAAAATCAGCACACTATGTCGCGTATCCAACTTGTGCTCACTGCTGGCATTGTCGATTCACTGCTTGATCACGCTGAAGTAGCACAGGTAGGCTCGCTGCGGACCCAACGTCCCTGCATCAGGAACAAATTTTCTTGTGTTAGTTGTTAGAGTATATGGTAGTTAGAGATGTATGAGAGCGGGCGATCTAGGGCCGTCGCTCACCGCTTCCGCTGCCGTCGCCCCTGGGAGGCGATCTCGCTCCTGGGGGCGGCCACCGTTTTTCGTTTTTTTTTCTTTCGTCGTCTGCACCGTCGCCGTGGAGGATTCAATCTCCTAGCGACTGGTCGTCGTTCGTCTGCGTCGTCGTTTGTCGCTGAGACGGATCGATCATGGTCTCCTCAGCGGCCGCGTTCTTCGTCGTGTCGTCATCATCGACATGAGTCAAGCAGCAGCAGTCAGCACCCACCGCCGATCTGGTTGCATTCCTCGTCGTCCTCTAACATGCCGCCGTCCCCGACTTCCACTGCGCCGCTAGCCACCGTCGACGCCACCTCCGCCGGCCCCGCCACGCGGCGTGCAGCGCCGCAGCCAAGGGGATGGGCCCCTCTCGCCTCTCCACCGGTCGACCCCGTGGTCGTCTCCGACTGGCTGTCTCCCTCACCGTCGCCGTCTGGTCCTTCCGCCACGACGCCGTCGTGTGCTCCGTCGTCCAGGCCGTCTTCCGTGCCCTCGGCTCCTCCGGTTGGCCGGCGCTCGGGTAGGCTTGCCTCCTGGTGGTGCTCGCGATCGAGGCCGTCGGCACTGCTCTAGCGGCACCAGTCGGGGAAGGGCGGCCTCTGGTGTGGCCGCGCATCACCACAACCACTACACCGCCATTGTTGGCTGCAGTACTCGGCCCTTCTGGACTTGCTCTATCTCTCTTGTTTCTCTGCTGAGAACGAGAGGATGGGATGCGTCCAGCCGGGTCAAAAGGCTGGAAGCTGATTTAATTGTGGTTTGTCAGGTTGACTGCATTGGAAGACCCGACGATTGCTACTGTGCTGCTACTGTGGACTACGGTGTTGCTGCTTGTATTTGTGTCTGTGTGTGTGTTTTTTTTCCCGATCAAAGATCGGGATTGTGTCGCCCACCGCCTCGTCGACATCTGCACGTCTCCGACATCGGCATCGACTTCATCGTCCCACCACGCGCATCGACGAACTGATCACTCGTTCAAGCGCCCGGCTACGACGACACCTTGCCGCCGATCGTCTTCGACTACGCGTTTACGCCATCAAGCTTTGGGTTGCTGCTGCGTCACCCCTCTCGGGCCACAGTGCCGACGCCCGTGGTCCACCTCCACTGGTTGTTGGCACGCTGAGAGGCGCCCTCCTCAGCATGGCCTCCCTACTGGTGGAGTTCTCGCCGCTGCATCGACATCGAGCTGCATCTGTGTCGCCCCTTCGGGTCACAGTGTTGCCCATCTCGTCGTCTTCATCGCCGTTCGAGCTTCAACACACTGGTCATCGTTAGCCACTTGGGTCTTCTTCGTCTACTTCGAGCATCGTCGCCGCATCTCCAAGCTGCCACTGTCGCCGCTCTAGGCCGGTGGTCCAGCTACCTCTACATGGCTACCAACGTCGCCGTCCAGGCCGTTGGTCCCGCTACTTCGCCTTCTACTTCGTCCAGCATGACTCATCGCCAGCGTCGCCGTATCTTCCTCGACTACACTTCGCTCTTCTCCAGCAACTGCGTGCTGCTCCGGCAATTCTCCCTCTACGCCGTTCTCGCGCCGTGACCATCTCGGAGGCCTTCTCTGCTAGTCTCCTCCGACATTGGCGTATGATTCATGGTGGTCCCCTACCTTGCCCGCGCAGTACTGGCAACACCGTTGGGCGCGTTCGTCCCGAG